GGGCTAGTGGCCACGGCGATGGGGCAGTACGGCACTGACTACCTCATCAATAAGGTAAGAAGGGAGACAGACGAGAACGGCTCCCTCCAACCTTTCCGACAACAAACATCTCATGCGCAATCCACCCTGTGACAGAAACAACAAAATTGGAGTGTTAGGTGCTGTATAATCGCACAGCGGAAGCGGGTAGCGGCGGTTCAGAGCAAAGGCGGAGGGCCGACGACAAGCTGGGTACCCCATGAAGCTAGCGAGTTGAACGCAAGAGAAGCTTCCTTCTCTCGTGTCCCAGCTGTGCGGGAGCTCCCCCGTATTAGTTTCTTTTTCATGGGGCGTTGGCCTGTAGAGCCAAACACGTCGGGGGAAGTGCTTCCGTGCCGTGGAGGCTAACTTCGACAGAGAAAAGCCAATGAGCGTGGTAATATTAGGACCATCAATCAACTGAGACGAGCCGTAAGGAGCCCTTACACAGGACTCGAGTGACACCGGCCGCAACGAAACAAGAAGATGCTCACGTAATGACACGGAAGTAAGCCAATCAGCTTCAAGAAATGCCGGAACACCCACCTTGTGAGCCAGGAAGGGGAGGGGGGTAAATGTAAACCGTAGCAACCTCTCGGACTCTTGCTCCAGAAATAGGGTTTGAACTGGGCCACCGGTCGGAAAAAAGCTGCCTGTAGAGGCATTTTATTGACGAGCGGGCATACTTTTCTCCTTCCAAAATTCTCCTAAAACCCTTGACGCGCCTTCTCACCATCACCGCCATCCCCTCCCTCTGCAAATTGCTCCACCAACTTTGGTCCGGGTGCATCTCGACGATCGGTTTTCGAAAAACCGAAACACAACAACACGAAAAACCGGCACGAAAAACACCGGGAACAAAATGGAAAAACAAACAGTTCAAGCGTCCGAGCTTCATCATCCTGTCCATTGCATCGGTGGTGGCCCTAAGCGCGTTCCTCATGGGCATCAACGGTCTCTACGATATATTACACCCGACCGCTGGAGGGGACGAGGAGGATGGTATCTGCTCGGCGGGAGTGTAAGAAATGTGTCACGGGGGGGGGGGGGGG